GTGAATCAACTCTAAGACTGACACTTAAGATTTAGTCCTACACTTCGCTTAAATTACGACTGAGATGCTTGATAACTAACTTTTAAGTGCAGCTTTGAGCCAAGAATTTTTTTTACACTTAAGTCAATTCTTAGCAGCATTCTTGAGAGTAATTCTCAGAGGCTTGATAAATACGGGCCCAGTTCTTCATGACCATTTACCTTCATTGCTTTATTTGCTGTACCTGAGTAAACTGCAGGGGTCTGAAAGATTCAGTTAAAAGGAAAGGTATTTTTCTTTTTTGCAAAAGCCAAAAATCAAACACAAGTTTTCTTCAAGAAATTCACTCGGAAGCTGAGGATGCTCCTTTCTGTTTTATTTAAACGTAAAATTCTGTTTGCAGAATTGGTCTGGTAAGATCATTTTTACATAGCGGATGAAGATGGACATTGGTTAGCAATTGTTCTCAGTTTAGATAAGCTTTTTTTTTTTTTTGATAAATGTGTACGGATATAATAATCGTAACCAGAATAGAGATTTACTCTTTTCAGTTACTGAGATTATAAATGACTTAAAGTTTACCTACCCCACAGAGTTTATTCTAATTGGAGGTAATTTTAATTTAACTCCACATGAGTGGCTAGATAGAGGCCCTTCTAAATTAAATTTCTCCCAAAGTCAATAACATTGCTCAAAATTTTTGCTCTTCAAATCTTTTGATTGATATCTGGAGAACTCAGAATCCAGGAATTAAAAGATTTTCTTGGTTTAAACCCAACTCAAATGTCAGATCAAGAATTTATTATTGCCTGGTGGTAGTAAATGGGAGTTTTTCAAATATAAACTTGGGGAATATTCAATTGATTTTGTTTCTTCTTCCATGATGCATATGTATCACAATATAACTGCTGTCACTTCGTCGATTTTTACAAAGCTCATCGGTCTGAAAAGTGAGGTGTGCTGTGATTGGCCAGCTATCCAGTGCTTGTGATTGGCTGAATACCTCAAGCGTGTGACGGAAATGTTACGCCCCTACCATATTGTGATGAAGAAAGGAAAAATTGAAATCGCATCATATGACCCCTTTAAAAATGTTATCCCTAAGAAGATAATTATAAATCTCTATATCGAAGTTCCTTGTAAACTCCCAAACTGCATTTCCATTATCACTACCGTATGAGCAGGTACGTGCACAGATAGGGCTCAACCTGTGCAGAGCACATGCCCTTTTTGCCCTTACACTCCGAAGTGCCCTTTTTTTGGTGATGGTGTTTTTTTTTTTCCCTTCAATAAATCAATGATATTGGTCACCCTTTACATCTGTCTGTCTGCTTTACAAATCAGGACCCTACAAATAATAATGACAACTACCCAGGAGGCCCATTGTTATAGCCTACTTTACATCTAGAAGGCCAGATATCCTTTGCACTGTATAATGCCAAGCTATCATACCATGTCCTTTTTCCAGGCCAAGTCTATTAGTCCTGACTTCCACCTTTGAGATTTAGAAATTAAGCAGTCTTTAAAAGCCATATCATTAGTCATTATAATGGTGTATAACATGTAGACCTATTGACCTAAGAAACCCTATATATATATATTTTGGTTGTTATTAATAGTGAATAAATCTAAAGCTTTTGAGACTATTATTTTGTGTTATTTCATTTGTCATTAAGGGGGGGGGTGCCCTTTTTCAGTTTCAGCACATGCCCCTCAAAAGGTCTGTGCACGGCCCTGCGTATGAGTATCAAGTATCAATCTTGTATCTCAATCACTGATACCATTAAATATCACCTACTCATTTTCACAAAGGTGCGTTTGAATTAAGAGACAGATGATTTGCTCACGGCTGTTGATCTGCTGTATTTCAAACACTGCTAAAACTTCTCGCTTTCCTGTGTTCTGCTTTAGCTCTCTTTCCATTGCTAAATTGTATGTTTACCTAAGTAATAACGTAGTTAGTGACCTCTGTTAGAGTATAATTACTGTTGTATTGAGAGTGTACGCAGAGCGGCCTACGAACTCCTCGCGAGTATTGAAGCTGACTTCTGCTGATGAAACTGCAAAAAATTTTCTTCAGTAAATTCTTCTTCAATTGATTGCATCTCTGGCTCCTGACCGTTGTTCATCATATCTGGTCCTCGGGTCTTAACTGTAAATTCCCCTATACCTGGATCATCGAAATTTGGCGCATATACATTGACAAGAATCATAGGATTTTGTGATACAGTGCCAACAACAATTACATACCTTCCATTTTTATCAGCTATTATTACCTTAGTAGAAGAAAACTGGACCCTTCTATTAATCAGTATCGCAACCCCACACGCTTTTGAATTAAAATTAGAGTGAAAAACTTCCCCTACGCAGTGCACTTAAGATTCAGATGATCCGGGTTTCTCAAATGTGTCTCCTGTAGGAAGGCAATATCTGTATTTTATCCTTTTCAAATGTGAAAATATCTTGGTCTTTTTGAACTTTAATGTTCCAATTTAGAAACCTAATTGTTGAATTGACTGGGTTCAACAAATTACCACGAGAATTAG